TTGCTGCAGATTTGTCTGCTGCACATCCATGATGCCAATCTCCCGTTCCACCACATCCCAAAGCTGCTCTATTGGGTTGAGCTCTGGTGACTGTGTAGGCCATTTGAGTACAGTGAACTCATCGTCATGTTCAAGACACCAGTCTGAGATGATTGAGCTTAATGACATGGTGTGTTATCCTGCTGGAAGTAGCCATCAGAAGATGGAGACACTGTGCTCATAAAGGGATGGACATGGTCAGCAGCAATACTCAGGTAGGCTGTGGTGTTGATGCTCAATTGGTACTAATGGACCTAAAGTGTGCCAAGAAAATCTCCCCCACACCATTACACCACCACCACCAGCCTGAACCACTGATACAAGGCAGGATGGATCCATGCTTTCATGATGTTGAGGCCAAATTCTGACCCACAGAAATTGCGCACACAGAACTGCCGCTCACTGGATATTTCCTCTTTGTCGGAGCATTCTCTATAAACCCTAGAGATGGTTGTGCGTGAAAATCCCAGTAGATCAGCAGTTTCTGAAATACTCAGAGCAGCCCGTCTGGCAGCAACAACCATGCCACGTTCAAAATCACTTAAATCCCCTTTCTTCCTCATTCTGATGCTCGCTTTGAGCTGCAGCAGATCGTCTTGACCATGTCTACATGCCTAAATGCATTGAGTTGCTGCCCTGTGATTGGCTTATTACAAAATTTGCGTTAACAAGCAGTTGGACAGGTGTACCTAATAAAGTGGCCAGTAAGTGTATATGTTTGTTGATATTTTCTACTTGAGTTTCGGTGAATTGGGTAAGCTAAATTGTATATATGCTGGATAAGTTGGAGGTTCATTCCACTGTGGACACCCCAGATTAATAAAGGGACTAAGCCAAAAAGAAAATGAATGAATATTAATAACCTTTATAGTATTTAAATGTAAAAAAGCAATATTAAATATCCTTATTTTCTAACATTTCACTATCAAGCTACCGTTTTGATGGCGTAGGTGATATATATTCATGTTCACACATGCACATGTCTAGCACATATACTTTTGCATATGTTTGCATAATTTTACAATCACACTACTGTGAGTATTGCTATACACTGGCAAACATATGCATCAATTAGCAGCTTTTGTATTGTTTTGTGTATTGTGAATTATTGTGATTAATGTTTTAATTTTTCCCCATTTATTTCTGCTTTTGAATTGCATTATGGGACTTTTTTAACCTTGAAAAGTTGTAAAAAGTGACTTTTATGAACATTTACAGACTTATTTCTCCAGATATTATTATTATTTCTTATACATTATGGTGTTTCAAGCTGCTAAAACGTCAATAAAAGTCACTTTGTTAAACTGTAGAGTTGAATTTTCAACATCAGAAGTGGACAGAGCAGAGATCAACATCCCACAATGCAGTTCACAACCGCATACAAACCCAAAACTGTTCATTAACAGGTATTTTTGACGGTGTGTATTTTATTTGTAAATATGGCGCAGACCTATTGCTCTGAATCTGCCCTCAGGGGATGAGCAGGAGCGCTGGGGAATGGTGGCAGTAAGTGGTGTGTTAGTGGCTTTAACCAGGGTGTGTGTGTGTGTGTGTGTGTGTGCTGCTCTCTAAAGGGATGCAGTCAGGCAGAGCTTCGTGCTAATCTGACCTTTGCAGAAGCACAGAAGGGTTTCTCAGAGCCAGCGGTGGTCGGCTGAGCTTCTGCTGCTGTTGTGTTGTGTTCAGCTGAACTCCACATATACGTCAGGCTGCTTTTGTCTCACTGCTGCCTTTATCTGATCCCACATTCACTCACGGAACTCTTGTTTACGGGAGCATCAGTAAACGGCACATGATGCACTGGAGTTTCCCATCATTTCCACACAGTCTGCTATAGATTGGCTGTGTCCGATATCGCCAAGTACTCAGTATGTACTACATTTGAGTTTGAGTTTGCTACACGACCATTAGAAAAGTGCGCTCTATATAGTATGAGTGTGAGCAGGGGTGGATTTACCCAATAATAAGCGAGGTAAGGATCTGCTTAGGGCCCCAGGAAATCTGGGAGCCCCTAATAAATATCTGGAAGTATAAATTATATATATATATATATATATATATATATATATATATATATATATATATATATATATATATATAAGTTACAGTGGGGAAAATAAGTATTGAACACGTCACTGTTCTTCTCAGAAAACATATTCCTAAAGGTGCCTTTGACCTGAAATTTTCCCCGGATTTTGAAAAAGAAATCCATATATGTAAAGAAAACACATCTGATTAGATTTGCATCTAATTATGCATAATGAAACGACACAGGGAAAAAGTATTGAACACATGAAGAAAGGGAGGTGTGAAAGCCCAGACAGCAACTGAAATCTCTCAGTAGTTCTTCAGTAAGCCTCTGCTCTTCCTCAGTGTAAATGAACATCAGCTGCTTCAGTCCAACATCTGCATTTGCAGGAGGATGAAGATCAAACCATTTCAGCAGGACAATGATCCAAAATGCAACCAAGGAGACTCTCAGATGCTTTCAGAGAAAAAAAAAATCAAGCTGTAGAATGGCCAAGCCAATCACCTGATCCGAATCCGAAAAAGTCTTTTATATAAAGTATTAAATATGTTTCAGTAGTTCAGCACTTTCTCCTTCTGTCATTCCCATTACACAGAAACTCAGATTTGTTTGTATTGTTTGGGTTTTTACTGGTAGTGACCCAGTCGGGACTCAAACCAGCTACTTTCTTACTGTGAGGCCACAGAGCCACTGTGCTGCCATTTTTCATTTTCTTAGTGTTTTTAATGTTTGGGAATTGTCAATTATTGTTAATTGTCATGGCAATGGTGTCACAGTAGGAAAAAAAATATTTATGGTAACTGGGGGGGTGGGGGGGGTAATATATTATGTTAATGCAAAATAATTTAGCTTACAAGCATGAGTATTGAGGAGTTCTTGTTGTGAAAATAATCTCACTATACAAAAGAGAATTTTTTTTTACAATTTATAATTTATTTGATAAATCATAAAATAGAACTTCATTAAAATAAAAATAGTAAAAAAAAAGTTATATATTATTATTATTTATTATTATTTATTTTTTCATTGCACACTGAGAACCGAGAAGTAATTATTTATTTGCTATTTAAATATTTGTCATTTTTTATGCAAAATAATATAAAATTTTAATTTTAAAGGTATATAATATAAACTTTATTTTTTATAATTTTTATTTTTATTTATTTTGCAATGGAGTATTGAAGTTTTATTTTTCATTGCAGCAATGGTAACTGGGGAGAAACTGTATAATATATATAATAATTATGTCACAATACAAAACAGAAAAGATTAAATAAAAAAGCAATATATATATATATATATATATATATATATATATATATATATATATATATATATATATTGTTATTATTTTTCATCTTGGGATCAATTTTGACCTGGATATGCTTTTGATAGGTTTCATGAGGTCACCACTTGACTTGCTAATAAATTCCAGGCTGTTACTCGCACACACCATCCTAATGAATGAAATTAGCATCATAAGATTAAGTTAATAAGTTAATGTTATTTTGGCTGATGGGTCTCTACACAGTGTGTTTTCAGAGATTTAAAACATGGGCTAATTGCATTTTTCATTGCAGTAATGTGAATTGGGAAATACTACTTAATTACCATTTAAATATGTGTCACTTTTAAATGCAAAATGTAAAATATTATCTTTCATCAAGGTAGAAAATATAAATGATTTTTTTATTTATATATTTATTTATATATTTATTTATTTATTCATTCATTCATTCATTCATTCATTTATTTATTTAATTAATTTATTTTTTTTATCTATTTGTAATTTCTTTAAATCAAAATATAAAATTATTATTTTACATTTTAGGATCAATTTTGACCCAGATATGCTTTTGATACGTTTCATGAGATCATTACTTGACCTGCTTATACATTACAGGCTGTTGCACGCACACACACCATCCTACTGACTGAAATGAGCATCAGAAGATGTGCACAGATATATTGTACAAAGAGTTAACGCTGATTGGCTCTACAGAGTGTGTTTTTCAGAGATGTGAAGCTGGCGTGCATGAACAGCGTGTTCTGTTTTGTGGTTTGGGCAGGATTTGTCCCAGGAGAGGGAAGGATGGGAGGCTGTGCTAGATTAAGGTAGATTATATCTGCCCACAGTCTTATCAACAGAATCAGAGATGAGGACGTAATGCTGTGACGCAGGTTACAGCTGAAATCCTCGTGCCAGCATTTCATATTTCCAGCAGCGCCGGCGTCTCTACACCTCTAGAGGAGGCAGTCAGAGTTTGTGTTCGCATTTCAGCACTGGATGGAGCTGAAATCTGATCACAAATCAGAAGACACACTAAACATTTAAGATACACTAAACACTTGAACCAGCGACCTTCTTGCTGTGAGGCCATAGTGCTAACCACTGAGCCACCGTGTCGCCAAATGTTAATTAATACAACTTTAATGTATTTAGCTAGTATTAAATACAACTGAACTTTTATTTATTTAATATTTTAAGATTTTTAAAATGATTTTAAGTATAAGAATTTTTAGTGACCATAAAAAATGCAAAATATTTATACATTTAAAAAATAATAAATCTAGATAATGTCTTTATAAGAGATCATGGGGCTTTTATATCAATATAAATGGAGAATTTACCACTGTGTTTGTGATTAAAATGTGTCTTGTAAAAAAAACAAAAAAAAAAACTAGCTAAAACAAAAAATGCAAAATCATTTAGCATTGGTTTCAGTAATGTATTACAAGATAATATGACCTTTGACCATGTTGTGCAATAATCATTTGTAGTGAAATAACTGAACATTTATCACCTGATTTTGTCTCACATGCAACTATATCTCGAGTAAACAGAAGCGGTGTGAAGTTGAATGTGACTTTAATATCTTGCATGTTTTTCTCTTGCATGTCGATGCTGCTGCTGCTGCTGATGATGATGAAGATGATGAACCAGTCACAACAATGTAAGAACACAGCTCAACAATAAGGTTTCATTAGTTAAATGTAGTTCATGTGTTTACTGATGTGATCTAAGTGTGTGAACAATACGTGTAGAGCGTTTATTAATGAAAACGTAGCCCTGTATACAGTGCTGGAGAGCATGAATTTCAATCGTACACAATGCCCACCATTGGTATCTTTTGGCAGTGGAAACACAGGCCTGATAAAGATGACCCGTACCTCACTGAACCACTCAGTGGAGCTATCTACAGCTCAATAGTTGGCATTTTGTATTTTGCTGTTTGCTTGTATGGTGGTTCTGAACCAGGGATCACCAAACTTGTTCCTGGAGGGCCGGTGTCCTGCAGATTTTAGCTCCAACCCTAATCAAACACCTGACCAAGCTAATCAAGGTATTACTAGGTATACTTGAAACCCCCAGGCAGGCGGGTTGAGGCATGTTGGAGCTAAACCCAGGACACTTGCCCTCCTGGACCGAGATTGGTGACCCCTGTTCTGAACTGTCAAAACAATTTTCAAAGTGCTTTTTCGGATGCGAAAAATGCAAAAAAATCAAAGCTGGTTTAAATTTTTTTATGACAGCCGAAAATTTTGAGGTTGAAAAATTATGAACGAAAATATCGGATTTAGCGTGCAATAATCTTTAGTCTAACATTATCTTTAGCAGCTCAAACACTCTAATGGCTAATGTAAAGACGGCTGCTTCTCACTCAGGGCTGCTGTTTATGCTAATGAAGGAGAGATGGGCACTAGTGGGCGGGGCTTTCCCCCTCTGATGACACGTACAAAGGGAGAATGTCAATCAAAGTGTTTCTGCAGACTGTTTATATCAAGTCTGATTGGAACAAATACATGTTTACCATTGGAGGTTGGATATATTCACACACTGTTACCACACAACCCCTAATAAAAGTTATTTTTGCATTAAAAAACTCCTTATTTATTTATTTTTTATCTATTTATTGCAGTATTGATAATTGTTCAGTGATTGCTGTAATTGTCAGGAACAAAGTCAACAGTGCAAAAAGTAAATTTTATCTTTATGCAGTTTTATTTTATTTTTAAAATATTGTCATTTTGTTTTTCATTGCAGTAATGAGAAAGGGGAATTGGGATACTAGTTAATTAATTGCCATTAAAATATTTGTAATTTTTTTAATGCAAAATATAAAATCTGATCTTGCGTCATGATATAAAATCTAACTTTATTTATGTATTATTTATTTATTTTGCAATGCAGTATTGATAATTGTTCAGTGATTGTTGTAATTGTCATGAACGAAGTCAAGAGTGAAAAAGTCAATTCTGTCTCTATGCATTTTTCTATTGCATAAAAATAACACAGTGGCAAGAATGGCACAGCTCAAACACTCTAATGGCTAATGGACAGACGGCTGCTTCTCACTCAGGGCTGCTGTTCATACTAATAAAGACGAGATGGGCACTAGTGGGCGGGGCTTTCCCCCTCTGATGACACACACAAAAGGAGAATGTCAATCAGAGTTTTGATCAAGTCTGATTATAACAGATACATGTTTACCATTAGAGGCTGGATATATTGACACACGGCTACCACACAACCCCTAATAAAAGTGATTTTTGCATAAAAACTCCATTTAACTAACCTTATTGTGAAGTGTTAGCATTAAAAACCCAGCTGACTCAAGTGTTATGATGCATGAGTGTGTTTTATTAATCTGTCCACCAGGAAAACAAACTCTACGAACAACCACAAAGACAAAAATGTCCGGCAGCGGAACACCAATTGACCAATGGACCAACACAGAGCAATGCTGAAGGTTTACAATCATACTCAATCTGCTTTTCTAAACCGCCACGCAAACATAGTCTAAACTCCTGCTGTTTCCAGATGACCAACTGCATATCCTGACCAGACGGACGTGTCCAAGGAGAGGAGACGCTCGTGGAGATGCAAATCCTGCCTCGCGAGGTGAAGAAAACAACAATAACCACAGCATTACACTGGCACAAACCTACAATAAAGACTGTCTTAAGTTTGCCTTATTCAGGCTCATGATGTGTGTGAATGCGGACGCTGACGGGGAGGATGAGTTTCCGTGCTGTTGTCGTTGCATATCTTTCTTTTATCATGCCCTCCTGCTGCACTAATTCTTTTTCATATCTACATGTTGTCTCGAATGCATGCAATAACATAATCTAATAAGATTCAGATATCGTTTTCTATCGTTACTTTAGATGGCGTTGCATCCAAATGAATAACCCGTGTGTCTGTTTATGTGTGTGTGTGAGAGAGACAGTGTGTGTGTGTTTTTAAAGAAATTTAAATGGATTAAAAAAAAGAGGATGCGTCAAGATCTTTGTACAGTTTATCATCCAATAAATCAATACTAAAAGGAGGTGTTTTTGTCTTAAACTAGAATGCAAGAATTTTGTGAGTGGCAGAACAGTATTTAATCTTAAAGCTGATATTGTATTAAATGAAATGGATATATGTAACATTTATTTTCTAGAGTTATTTAGACGTCTTGTACATGTGGTGCTGTAAGTGTTCCAATATTACGATAGCATCTGTAAAAAGCAACAGAGTATATATATATATATCTTTGTTTTTTTTTAATAAATAAAAATGTCATATTTCTTTTTAGAGAAGAGATGATTCTTGTACAGCATGGCTATAATCCTATGCAATATGTATTCATATAGACCTACTGACAATTGTAAGTTGGGGCGGGTTTGTTTAATTTCAGAGAATAAAAGCTTTAACGGGACAGTGAGTTAAGGGTGCTTCGCATTTGAAATGCACTGCTGTAGTTGCATGTCAACTCCTGATCAATACAGTGTGTGTGTCAACCTGACAATGGACCAACATACATGGGAGGAAGTGGGTGGAGCTAAAGCCATTACAAACTATGTGAAACCAATTGTTTCCTTTTTCAAAATAAAGGTTCCAAAATACTTCAGTGTCTGTGTGTTTGTCTGAATCAACGTGGGTTTTAAATGATCCTTTGGAAAGGAGTTTTACTAAAGTCGTCCATAAAGTTGTTTCTATGGGCATCCTATAAAGTTTATTTGACTTGGCATTTTGAGCAGTGTGCTAGATTTACACTCACCGGCCACTTTATTAGGTACACCTTACTATTACGGCATTGCCTTCAGAACTGCCTTAATCCTTCATGGCAGAGATTCAACAAGCTACTGGAAATATTCCTCAGAGATTTTGCTCCATATTGACATGATAGCATCACACAGTTGCTTAAGATTTTTCCGCTGCACATTCATGATGCCAATTTTCCATTTCACCACATCCCAAAGGTGCTCAATTGGATTGAGCTCTGGTGACTGTGGAGGCCATTTGAGTACAGTGAACTCATCATCATGTTCAAGAAACCAGTCTGAGATGATTGAGCTTTATGACATGCTGCGTTATCCTGCTGGAAGTAGCCATCAGAAGATGGAGACACTGTGCTCATAAAGGGATGGACATGGTCAGCAGCAATACTCAGGTAGGCTGTGGTGTTGATGCTCAATTGGTACTAATGGACCCAAAGTGTGCCAAGAAAATCTCCCCCACACCATTACACCACCACCAGCAGCCTGAACCACTGATACAAGGCAGGATGGATCCATGCTTTCATGTTGTTGAGGCCAAATTCTGACCCGACCATCCGAATGTGTCAGCAGAAATGGAGACTCATCAGAGCAGCAACGTTTCTCCAATCTTCTATTGTCCAGTTTTGGTGAGTCTGTGTGAATTGTAGCCTCAGTTTCCTGTTCTTAGCTGACAGGAGCGGCAACCGGTGTGCTCTTCTGCTGCTGTAGCCCATCCGCCTCAAGGTTGGCCGTGTTGTGTGTTCAGAGATGCTCTTCTGCAGAGCTCGGTTGTAACGAGTGCTTATTTGAGTTACTGTTGCCTTTCTATCAGCTGGAACCAGTCTGGCCATTCTCCTCTGCCATCAACAAGGCATTTGCGCACACAGAACTGCCGCTCACTGGATATTTCCTCTGTGTCGGGCCATTCTCTGTAAACCCTTGAGATGGTTGTGCGTGAAAATCCCAGTAGATCAGCAGTTTCTGACTGGCACCAACAACCATGCCACATTCAAAGTTGCAACCATGTGTTTGGCTAATTAGAAATTTGTGTTACTGAGCAGTCGGACAGGTGTACCTAATAAAGTGGCCGGTGAGTGTATATTGTATTTAAAATTGTAATGATGTTCTGTTATTTTCTTGTTTATTGTTATTGTTTATTTAATATATTTATTTGTATTATTTTGTTAAATTGTACTATTATTATTATTAGAATTTTTAAATATTAAAAGAAATGCTAATTCAAATTAATAATTCAGTATGATTTTTTTTTAATAATAATGTAATTCAATAGTGTTATATTTCAATTTAGCTAACATTTTTGTTTTTGCATTTCTGGTAATTTAGATTTATGTGTTTTCTTTTTAGGTTTTCATCTAATATATGTTTGTTTTATTGAGCATTATGTCAATTAAAACTAATATCATTATACGCCACCAACATAAAGAAAGAAGAGTCGATTTGAACAATACATGAGGGTTAAGAAGCTTATGACCATTCATAATAATAGGAGTACCACAAATAATATTTTGTATTTCCATTTGCTCAAATAATAAAATGTAAAATACTGTGATAACAGCAGCCAGAAGAGTGAATAATGTTAGATTTACTGTCCTGCCTCAATAAACGCTGCATTAGAAACACCTCTAAGTGGCAATTAATTTTTGTAATTTATATTATATTTGATATAATGCAAATGATAGCTTTATAAATGTATATCATAAAAAATAAGACATTACATTTCTTAAGGAACTAAGATGGTAACTACCATTAAATCCATCCTCACCGTATTGTGAAAAGGATGCATTGTGACTTTACCTCACTCCTGCATGATCTCCTTCAGCTTTTTCTCGACCTCCTCTACGAATGCTGGAAAGGCAGAATCGAGCAGACAGAGGCGCAGTAGAGCCTCCAGGTCTCCAGAGGGCAGCGAGCTCTGATGATACGCCATAGGCAAACACAGCTCACCCTCGCCCAGGAACAGCTGAAGAGGAAGACATCATATATAATGTGCATGAAAAAAACACCACTTCATGCATGACAGCTCAGAGGTCACTTTAAAATATCACAGGGTAAGTCCATTTTTCTTATCCATGGGTTTACAAATAACCTCTATACTTATTAGAGGGCTGGTTTAATGAGGTCAGAAGGTTTGTGGAGTATTTGAATGTGTATATTTATATTTTCCCCCCCTTTTTTCTCCTTGTGTTGTTCACCTGTTTATTATGCTCGAATTTAATATATATGTACTATTATACTAGAGTTAAGCCTTTAAATGTCACTTTAAGCTGAATACTAGTATCTTAAATACTTAAATATCTTAAATATATATATATATATATATATATATATATATATATATATATATATATGCAGACACACACACACACACACACACACACACACACACACATAAATATATATATATATATATATATATATACACACACACACACACACACATATATATATATATATATATATATATATATATATATATATATATATATATATATATATAAACATACAATTATTTTCCTTTTTTTTGTCCTGTTCAACATTTTGTAGTTGTTAACGAATTTCATTTGGTATAATTTGTTGATTATTTTAATGTATTTTTGTTGGTCAGTTATCTACAAAATAACCAAGAATATTTGAGGTGAAGTTCAAAACAAGGTCCTCATATGCTTGAGTGCACAAACTGACAAACTAGCATGTTAAAGAAAATATTAATATAAGAAAAATGACAGTGAAATATTCACAGTGTCAGAGCAGCCTATATTTGTCTAAATAATATTCTGTTAATGACAATCCATATTGCACCCGTCAGTTTCCCTTGTATTAATTTAATAAACTTTATTTGACCACAATGAGCCCGGCTTTACAAACTATTAGCAGCACTTGACGTATTCCCCTCGAAAGAATAACCTCAGTCGGAAGGAAGAAAGAACAGAAACTCTTTATGAGAATAATTTTACGGAGTGATGTACGTTGCGTCTGTGCAGCTGGTTTGCTAAATGAAGCACCTGATGCATCACTGAGACACATCGTGCAGCCCTCCGGTTTCTGCGGACACTTTCAAAACAGCAGCACAAAGAGAAGAAATCCGTGCGTTGAGGATCTGTCCAATGTATCATTGAGTCTTTTCTAATTTAAAGTTTCAGGTAGGCCTACTTTGTGTGTGAAGAGCAGGTAATAACCCTCTCTACTCCAGTGTTGCGAATGCGATCTGCTGATCTAATGACCCAAACGACCCAATCTAATTGCCCAAACGTTTTCGTATGAAGGGGCATAAACCAAATATCATTGAGAACAATGAGCTGAAGGTAAATATACTAAACTAAATTACAATCTAATTGCAGTGGGTAATTTATTTCCTAATGGTTTCATAATATTTTAAAATAAATAGAAAACATTACTTTAAATCAAATTAACTAATGCAGCATAACTGTTTACTCTATTCCTTATTGCATTAAAAACATAAACAATCAGATTTATAACGGTGGAGTTCAATGCTGAATACACTAGTCAAGCAGAGCCTGCCTTTGACTTGATTTGCTCACCAAAGTCTCTGCATTATCAGATTACAGTGCATTTAAATAAAATCAGATTAATTTACACCATTTAATTGAAACATTTCATTTCAGCTAGCTTTTAACAATAAAACAAACAAAGAGTTGCATTAAAATTGAATAGATAATCTTGAAAACATCCCCATCATTCTCAGATAGGATGACTGATCTGAAAGCAAGTCTGTCTAATTTAGAGATCCCCAAACTATGGCTCGCGGGCCAAAGTTGGCCCATAATAATCTTTGAGTTGGCCCGCAAACCGCATAGTTTGGGCATCTCTGAATTAGACAGACTTGCTTTCAGATCAGTGTTATACCTGTGAATGGTGTTATAGCCAAACAGTGTTAACAGCCAAACCGTATAACCAGTCAGTTTGATTTTATAATGTGTTCGGATTAGAGTTATACCTGGGAAAGGTGTTTGATTGACAGCGGCCCCTCAGCAACAGCAGGGGCTGCCCGTGGAGCATCTTCAGGGGCCTGAAGAAGAGACAGAAATAGATCCATTTATTACAGTCTCAGGCCTCACACTGAGGGTCTCGCCAGCCGATCAATACCCTCATTACTAATTGAAAGTCCTGGACCCTGGCGGTGTTTCTCAAGCCTGCTGCGGGCATCGCTGCCACCAGCCAGATTTACACAGTGTTTGTGCTTGTGCGTTCACTATATTTAGAGCTTCAAGTCTGCGTATTTACATTTCAGATCCACAAATAAGCCGCTCAGATGAGGGTGGGATTATTTCTGTCCTGTTTATCTGCCTATTTAATTTCATTATGCGCCAACAGCACCATCTAGTGATGACAAGGACAAATTAACATCAATCATTAGCTCTAATTAAAGGGACAGTGCACCCAAAAATTAAAATGTCATTATCCTTTCCTTAGATTTTACATGTGGTTCATATTCTGATGAATGTTGGGGGAAACCAGCAATAGATATTCACAGTAGAAACGAAAAAGCAAATACAATAAAAAATAACCTTTTAACATTCTTCAGTATATCTGCCTCTGTGAAGTAAACGATGATAGGATTTTTATTTTTTGGGCTTCAACATGACATCAAAACAAATTGTATTTTTTTACTGTCTAATTATTGCATTATTTATTAATTATTGATCTAAACCTAACCCTGTTCTAAGATATTTTTTGCTAAATATTGCTAAATGTCCCATTATATGTTTTAAAAATATTGTTCAAATCATTTCTGCCTTTATATTAGATGCTTGATATATTTCTGCTGGACATAGACAGATGGACAGACAGACAGACGTATAGATATATAGATAGATGGACGGGTGGAAGGATAGACAGACAGATAGATGGATGGATGGATGAACGGATGGACGGATGGACGGACGGATATATAGATAGAGACAGACAGACAGACAGATATATAGATAGATGGACGGACAGGTGGATGGATAGACAGACAGTCAGATAGACATATAGATGGACAGATAGATAGATAGATAGATAGATAGATAGATAGATAGATAGATAGATAGATAGATAGATAGATAGATAGATAGATAGATAGATAGATAGATAGATAGATAGATAGAGAAAGAAAGACACAGAGATAGAAAGACAGATCTTGTTTTAAATAGCACATTTAAATTAAAAAACAAAAATCCTGTTCTACTATACCCTGTTATATATTCTGTGTCGCATTACAAGCACTAGTAGTGAGTCAAGCATGAGTCATTTCAACTGCTTATACTTTGATTCATAAATATAATATGTCCAGATAGACACCATTAGCTAGTTTTCTGCTCAGGTCTTGTTCATTCGCTGACACGTTACACTGAACTTACCTGGAAGCTCACAAGTAATTACCTGCCAGTGGAACTGACCTGCTGGAAACGGCTTAAAAGCCAAGGACAAACCCACTGTCACACTCTCTTATCAGTGCTGGAGGAGGACTGTATACCCAGAGCCACTGCATACACCACCACTACACACAGCTCTCTCTTTAATAGAGAATTCTTCACAGTATTTCCTATAATATTTTTTTTCTTCTGGAGAAAGTCTTATTTGTTTTATTTCGGCTAGATTAAAAGCAGTTTTTAATCTCTTTAAGCCATTTTAAGGTCAATATTATTAGTCCCCTTAGGCAATATTAGTGTTTGATTGTCTCCAGATCAAACCACTGTTATACAATGACTTGCCTAATTACCCTAACTTTACCCTAATTAACCTAGTGAAGCCTTTAAATGTCACTTTAAGCTGTATACTCGTGTCTTGAAGAATATTTAGTTTAATATTATGTGCTGTTATCATGGCAAAGATAAAATAAATCAGTTATTAGAGATGAGTTATTAAAACTGTTATGTTTAAAAATGTGTTGGGAAAATCTTCTTACCGTTAAACAGAACTTACAATACACAGGAGGACTCATAACTCTGACTTCAGTTGTATGTATTATTCTTCTTATCTGTAGATGGATGAAGTCTGTGTGTTTTGTTGGGTTGTGTGTGTAACCTGTGGCTGCTGTGCAGATGTTCTGGGTTCTGCGGGATCAGATGGAGCAGCAGGTGCAGGTGTGGTCAGATGCTTCTGGACGGGAACATAATCCTGTAGCTTCCTCACAGCTTTACTGCAGAAATCTGCTGCTTCTTCACGACTGCTGCCATCAAACTGCAGTCGGATCAGACGGCTCTCTCCCTTACAGATTCACAGAACAACGAAAAATGAAAGTTACGTGAACAACATACAAGTTCATATTTGGATTTTCACATGGGGAAATGGCATGGGTGGGTTAGTGGTTAGCACTGTCACCTCTCAGCAAGAAGGTCGCTGGTTTGAGTCCCGGCTGGGTCAGTTGGCGTTTCTGTGTAGAGTTTGCATGTTCTTCATGTGTTGGGTTTGGGTCCGGTTTTCCCCAGTACAAACACATGCACTATAGATAAATTGATTAACTAAATTGGCCGTAGTGTTTCAGTGTGTGTCATTGTACACTGTAAAAAAATAAATCTGTAAAATTTACGGTAAAAACACGGCAGCTGTGGTTGCCAGTACTTTACCGTTAAAAACACGGTACAAACCGTAAAAGTAATTTTTCATTTTTACGGTTAATTACTGTATTTTATTAAGTTATAGAGGTAATATGTCCGTATATATTAAGGAAACATACCATTAACCAGATTACGGATTTGTACTGTAGCATTTTTACAGTTTTTTACCGTTGAAATCACGGGCATTTTTTACAGTGTAAGTGTGTATGGTTTCCCACTGGGTATAGATACAGAACACTTCGCCATTTGCAGCCACCAAATTATTTTAATAGGTACTGTTAGAAATGCATCATCATTAGATGGGAAGGAAGAAGGAAGGATTGATGGTGGGAGAGAGGATAGATGGAGGATGGAAGGATGGATGGATTAATGGAGGAAGGATGGATAGATGCATAAGGGAATAAAGGATGGATGGATGGTTAGATACTTATGTAAGGATGGATGAAGGAAGGAAGGAGGGAGGATGGATAGATGGAGGATGGATGGATAGATGGATGAAAAAATGGATGGATGGATGAAGGTATAGATAGTTAAGATATTTAGATTAAGGATGGATGAAGGAAGGATGGAGGGAGGGAGGGAGGGAAAAAAGGAAAAAATAATGAATGGATGGATGGATGGGTAGATACTTAGATAAGGATGGATGAAGAAAGGGAGGAGGGATGGATGGATAGAAGAAGGAAGGAAGCATGGATAGGTAGATACTTAGATAAGGAGGAAGGAAAGATGGATGGATGGATAGATGGAGGAAGGGAGGACAGATGGATGGATAGAGGAAGGAAGGAAGGATAGGTAGATACTTAGATAAGGTGGAAGGAAAGATGGATGGATGGATGGATGGAGGAAGGATGGATGAATAGATAAAGAGATACTTATATAAAGATGGATGAAGGAAAAAAGATAGAGGGAGGAAGCATGGATGAATAGAGGAAGGAAGGAAGGAAGGAAGGAAGGAAGGAAGGAAGGAAGGAAGGAAGAAAGGATGAATGGATAGATAGATTCTTCGATAAAGATGGAGGGAGGAAGGATGGATGGACAGAGATAGTAATTTTGCACGACACAATATTTTCTGGTTGGATTTCCGCCTGCCTTTCCTATATGAACTCAGGTAGAGGCTTGTTTTTCAACAAATGCATTAGTATTCATGAAGTGGGAATCTCTTGGTCAAAAGACATGTTGGAGAAGAGATAATTAGCTTAATTAAGAAGACACACCACTTGTCTTTGAGCTGTACGTTGGAGGTCATTCATAAGCGCTTATTTTTTAACTATTTGCATATTTAATTTATTTATTGTTTTCAAGGACGAGGAGGCGGGGAAATGCCTTTAGGACAGCACGAGCACATGAGGATCCTCCTGTGTCTGACGCCTGGTAAACTGCAGATCAAGGATCATTCTCACCTTCATTGCAATGTTGAACAGCAAACTGTCTGATTTATGCTGGATTTTCAGGAAGCTCTGGGCATTAAGCAGAGAAAAGCCCTCCTACAAACAGAAGAAAACAGGAGCACACATCATCATTATCCAGCAGAGACTGATTTAATAGGATTATATCAGGCTGAAAACACATCATATAAGCAGAACAGCATGAACCTGCCATCAGCAGCCTCCTCCAGGGTTTCCATTAGAACATAACAGAGAATGGTTCTGTAGTTTCTGCCAAAACCATGAATTGAGCGATCAATTAATGTTTTACACATCTACATTTTAATCTTCTAGAGAAAATGTTTTTTTATTAATGCAAAAGCTACAATGCAAATGCAGGAATGCTATGCATGTGAAGTGTGCTTGTGTATATACAGTTGAGGTCAGAATTATTCACCCCCTTTTAATTTTGATTTTCTTTTTTAAATATTTCCTAAATTATGTTTAACAGAGCAAGGAAATTTTCACAGTATGTCTGATAATATTTTTTTCTTCTGGAGAAAGTCTTATTTGTTTTATTTCAGCTAGAATAAAAGCAGTTATTAATTTTATAAAAGCCATTTTAAGGTCAATATTATTAGCCCCTTAAGCTATATTTTTTCTCGATAGTCTACAGAACAAACCATCATTATACAATAACTTGCCTAATTACCCTAACCTGCCTATAGTTAACCCAATTACCCTAGTGAAGCCTTTAAATGTCACTTTAAGCTGTATAGAAGTGTCTTGAAGAATATCTAGTCTAATATTATTTACTGTCATCATGACAAAGAGAAAATAAATCAGTTATTAGAAATGATTTATTAACACTATTATGTTTAGAAATGTGCTGAAAATAAAATCTGCTCTCCGTTAAACAGAAATTGAGGGAAAAATAAACAGGGGGGCTAATAATTTTGACCAGCTGTATACTGAAATTTTCCTTCAGTGCCTCCATTCTAAAATAAAGCAGCTTCTCCATTGAGCATACAGTATTTTTGCTATTACACAAGGACGTCAGAAGAGGGCTCTAATAACAACCTCTGTGCATGACTATCACGTTCACTATGACACAGGCAATATCAACCAGGATTTTATTATAGCTCTACTATTATTACTAGTACTAGAACTTTAAGATTTAGCATTAGTATACTTCTTTTTAAACTAAATATAATTTTAGCTTACTTCTTTAAAGTGTACATCCAAAATCATTCATTCATTTTCTTTTCGGCTTAGTCTCTTTATTAATCAGGGGTTGCCACAGCGGAATGAACCACCAATTTATCCAGCATATGTTTTACGCAGCCCAAATCTAAAAACGTTATTTTAGACTACTTGTGCACTTGAAGTGTACACTTAAAAGTATATTTTATTCACTACAAGAGAGCCTATTTAGACAGAAGAGGTCTTCAATAAGTATACTACTAGTACATACTCTAGTTAATATGTGAAGTATAGTTAAAATATACTTCTACAGTACTTAAGTAATACAGTGAACTTTTCTTATGGGCAAACATCTAATTAATCAGTCTATTACGTTCTTTGATTTTTCACACAATTAAGATGTGGATAAGTGGATAAGGTTAAAACAATTATCTTTGTATATATGTGATATACAGTGCTCAGCATATATGCGTGCACCCCTCACAAATCTCTTTTAAATTCATATTATTAATAGGAAGCTCTACAATATTATATTTGTCTATATACATTAGATTAGTCAGCACTGAAGCCAAATCTGGAGTTTATCTAACATAATAACTTACGATAGCAACCAAAAAACTAGCATAGCCGAAATTATGTTAGAAATACATTATATTTATTGTATAGAAATATAATAAATACAAATTAAAAAAAGAGAAAAATCAAGAGAAGCAAAAAATTTAGTTGACATTTTTTAGGTTGTAATTTTCTTTTTTTTTGTGCAATATTTTGCTTGAATTTAATTGTGATATCTTTCCATTTCTAAATATGTTTGATGACTTAAATATTATTTTAATAAAGATATCTGTTTAATAAATCTGTTGAAATCCACCAAAATACACTGCCCATATTCACTGAGAAATGGAGGAAAATATTCATTTTTCAAAATGGGCTGTACTCAATTCTGCTGAGCAGCACTGTATATATATGTACATAGTGCTCAGCATAAATGAGCATACCCCACACAGATATCTCTTTAAAATTAATATTTTGTAGTGCTTGCTTTATATGAAATAATATATTTGTGCATTAGACATTAGATTAGTCAGTATCAAAGCCAAAAACTGAAACTAATCTAATAAAAAATCTAATAAAATAAAGATCACAGTCCAAAAACTAGTACTCTCAAATTAATATGTTTGTGGAAACTGTTAAGCTGCTTTGACGCTGTATAAATAAACATGACTTGAATTTCAAAAAAATTAAATAAAAATTAATGAAAAAGAAAAAATCAAGAGAAACATAAAAAAATACAATTTTGTAGTTTTTATTTTTCTATTTTTGCAATAACTTCTTTGAATTGACATGCATTATCTTTCAATTACTAGCAATTTTAGGGGGGCAAACTCTGTTTTAATTAATATTACTGTTTAATCAAATAGTTTTGTCTAAATGCACCAACACTTGTCAGCTATGATCACTGAGAAATGGATAAAAATATTCATTTTCAAAAGTAATGTGTATTTACATTATGGCCATACACCCAAAGTGCTTTACAATCATGAGAGGAGTCTCTTCACACCACCACCAATGTGCAGTTCCACTTGGATGATGCGACGGCAGCCACAGGACAACGGCGCCAGTGCTTCACCACACACCAGCTATTGGTGGAGTGGAGAGACAGTGATAGAGCCAATTCAGTGGAAGTTGAAGATTGGGAGGCCATGATCCTAAGGGCCATTAGAGGGAATTTGGCCAGGACACCTTTACCAGAAGTGCCATGGGATTTTTTTAATGACCACAGAGAGGCAGCACTTCGGTTTAATCTCTCATCTGAAATCCAGCGCTCACTGATAGTATATTGCCCCCTTCACTATACTGGGGCGTTACGCCCCATTCACACGGGGCTTCAGCGTCAAAGCCTGACTGAAGTTGTGTCTGAAATTGGGGCTAAAGCGATCTTCATAGCAGCGTCAGCCAATGAAATTCAGTCAGCAGTAGGCCACTGTCTAGCTGGTGTATTTGCTATTTGCATACAGCGATCTGATTGGCTGATGCTTCTGTCGGCGCTTAAAAAGTTGAGCTAGTCCCAACTTCTGCAGCCTCTGAAGCGGCGCCGATAGATCCACAATGTTGACGCTGACGCCCCGTGTGAATAGGGCGTCAGGACTCACACAGACCACAGGTTGAGCGCCCCCTGCTGGCCTCACTAACACCACTTCCAACAGCAACCTAGTTTTCCCATGTGGTCTCCCATCCAGGTACTAACCGGGCTCAGTCCTGCTCAGCTTCAGTGAGTAGCTGGTCTTGGGCTGCAGGGTGATATGGCTGTGGCCAAATATATAAAAAAATATATATAGACTGTATAAATGCAAGTAAAGAATGATTAAATGGTGTTTAGATCAAAAACACTTCAGTGATTATAAATAAAGTCTTGAATCACATTCGACGACAATATTTCAAATGTATTCATTCACTCGTTTTGGAGGCTACTTTGTAAACTGGTGTTTATAGAGATTACAGACACATCTCCATAACCGAACGTCAGTCCCTGCACTGGAAATCACCCAATGCTTTGCTCTGGATGGATGCACTGCCTCGTCTGGCTTCTCTGTTCGGCAGACGAGCTGGAAATGTGACTCATTTTCCAAATGCAGCTCCATGAGGAGCCAGAGACTATTGTGGCCACGAGTCCAAGATTGAGGCTTATTGTTGGGAGATATCCGAAGCACTCAGCCTGGCAATCCCTGAGGGACAGCAACAGGCCCAGCGGGACGGGAAAGGGATTATGCTGTTCTTTCTGCGGGGTGAAAAGAAATACGGTCAAGCTCTTATGATGGGCTCAGTGGAACCTGCGCTATCCTGACCCTGCACTTAAAGCCTGATGGGAAGAAGAGTGTCGGCGGCTTAGAGAGTGCCATTTCATGGCCAAAAAAAACCCTAAACAAAAACATTTATTGGTCACTAGACGGATCCTGTGTGAATTTATATAATCTTACCAAGAGTTCCTGGCCTTTAGATACTAGCAGATGACCTGAGCCCAGAATATTCAGCTCCAGCTGGCCAGCGCTTTCACTGGACTCAAAAACCTGAAACATAAACTCTGAGATCAGTCCAGAATATAACAGACTTGATGATGATGAACTTTCCTGAAACAGATAAACAGACACTGGAAATACCCAGTATTTACTTCACAATGCACTAGTAACCACCACAAACACCCAACATCCATATAAAGAGATAGTTCAACCAAAAAATTAATGATTTCTATGGAAGTCAATGGTTACACGCTTCCAACTTTCTTGATTTAAATATCTTCTATTTTATTTAACAGAAAAAAAAGTAAAGTGTGAGTAAACAATGGAAGAATCGTCAATTTTGAATGAACTATCCCTTTAACGTCATCGTAGCAAGCATTCATAACACCCTGCATTCACCTAACAACACCCTAGCAACTACATTAAACTTACTTATTTAGCATTTACTCATTTATCCAAAGTGACTTAGAAGTGAGCAACCATTCAAAAACCCTGCATTTACCTAACAGTGCACTAATAACCAATATTCTATAGTCTTTGTAACCACCCTAAAACACCCAACATCCATATAAAGCATAGGCCTCAAACTTGACTCCTGAAGGGCCGCAGCTCTGCACAGTTTTGCTCCAACCCTATCAAACACAGCTGATCCATGTAACGGAGGTGTTTAAAAGAGTCATGAACACCTTCATTGGTTTGGCTGTGTTTGATCAGGGTTGGAGCAAAACTGTGCAGAGCTGCGGCCCTCCAGGAGTCAAGTTTGAGGCCTATAATTTAAAGGGATAGTTGAACCAAAACTGAAAATATACTGTTTACTCACCGCATGTAGTTACTGTATACACCTTTATTACTTTGTTTCTTCTGTTCAACACAAAATAAGATATTTTGAAGAAAGCTGAATACTGTGCAAGTCAATGGTTACAGGTTTCCAGCTTTCAACTTTCGTCAAAATATCTTCTTTTGTGTTTAACAGGAGAAAGAAACTCATAACTAGTAAAGTGTGAGTAAATGATGGGAAAATTTTTGGGTGAACTATCCGTTTAACGACGTTGCAGCAAGCATTCAAAACACCCTGCATTTACCTAACAACGCCCTAGCAACCATCTACATTACATTTACTTTTTTTTTATTTAAAGTGACTTAGAAGTGAGTAACCATCCAAAAACCCTGCATTTACCTTACAGTGCACTAGTAACCTATATTCTATAGTCTTTGTAACCACCCCAAACACCCAACATCCATATAAAGCATACAGTAGGTCTCAAGCTCAATTCCTGAAGGGCCGCAGCTCTGCACAGTTTTGCTCCAACCCTATCAAACACAGCTGATCCATGTAACGGAGGTGTTTAAAAGAGTCATGAACACCTTCAATGGTTTGACTGTGTTTGATCAGGGTTGGAGCAAAACTGTGCAGAGCTGCGGCCCTCCAGGAGTCAAGTTTGAGGCCTATAATTTAAAGGGATAGTTGAACCAAAACTGAAAATATACTGTTTACTCACCGCATGTAGTTACTGTATACACCTTTATTACTTTATTTCTTCTGTTCAACACAAAGTAAGATATTTTGAAGACAGCTGAATACTGTGCAAGTCAATGGTTACAGGTTTCCAGCTTTCAACTTTCGTCAAAATATCTTCTTTTGTGTTTAACAGAAGAATCTCATAACAAGTAAAAGGTGAGCAAATGATTGAAGAATCGTCATTTTGGGGTGAACCATCCCTTTACTAACGTTATAGCAAGCATTTAAAACACCCTGCACTTTATTAAACAACGCTCTATAGCAACTATCTATATTATATTTACTCATTTAGCAGTCCATTTTATCCAGAGTGACTTAGAAGTGAGCCATACATGACAATATATATGGAAGTGAGGAAACATCTAAAACACCCAGCATTTACTTAACGGCACCCTAGCAACCACTCAAAACACCCAACATCTTCTTAAGAACACCTTAGCAAACACCCTGAACACTAATAACACACTAAATAAGAGTGAAGTTTGATGGATGATTTCAGCTAAAGCAATACTGAGTAATACTGACTTTAAACAAATGTGTTTTATAATTGTGGTTTTATTAGTTATACTAATAGCTATGTCTGTCATCTTGTCAAGTTAAACTTGTTCTCCTTTTTAGAAGCACCAACAATTTTAAACTAACTTGTAAAAAAGCATTAACATTGGAGTTTGTATACTGAAATATATGAATAAATTAATAAAAAATATTAAAATTTTAAAACGAGATTGTCCCGTTGTCCCTTCCGTTGATTTGCCCGCGGGCGGCAAAATAAAGGGCGGGGCTCTTATTTCAGTTCTCCTCACTCACCTTCCACGCGCTGTTATCACCTGAGGTCTTCGGTTTTGCTTTTCCCGAGGGCAGAAATCGTCCGTATCGCCGTAGTTTCCATACACAGCCAGCAATAGTCGTGTTTTTGGCTTGTTCTTTGTGTGAACAATCACCTTCCATGCTCGCGTTTATTTCCGAGAACAACGTGAGTAAAACGGATGAATAAAAAATGAAGATGGAGGCGGAGGATTAAATGACTGACGGTTAAGTTTTGAATCGCGTACTAATAACGTTAACTTACAGAAATATAAACAGAACTGTGCTGTTCTTGGTGTAAATACACAGAGTGTCCGTGTATATATAACAGGAAGATGGTAAACCGACGAATAAAGGCGTAACTCGCAAGCCTTAGAAAGTTAATTAGCAGTTGATATTTGTATTGCTAAACGCGCACAGTGCGCATGCGTGAAGGTGGCTGCTCGATATGGGGCTCAGGAATAATGCTGATAACCTGTTTATTTTAAAACAATTCCAGATAAATAGCAATTAATACATTGATTTTAGTGGCGGAAATGTCACTGTATATACATGTATGCATGTTGTAAACAGAATAAGACCATTTAGGAGTTTTAATATTTCACATTTTTGTTATATTGTTGCTTTGATTATTGTTTTCATTTGTAAATTGCTGTGGAATAAAAATGCCAAATATTAACATTATTACATATAATAATAATAATAATGGTGATGCAGAAGGTAATGCTGTTGCCTTTCAGCAAGAAGATAGCTTGTTCGAGCCGGGTCAGTTGGCGTTTCTAAGTGGAGTTTGCATGTTCTCCCCGTGTTCGCGTGGGTTTTCTCCAGGCGCTCCGGTTTTCCAAAGACATGTGCTATAGGGGAATTGGATAAGCTAAAATTGCCGTAGTGTGTGAATGAGTGTATGGGTGTTTCCCAGTGGTGGGTTGCAGCTGGAAGGGCATCCGCTGCGTAAAACGTGCTGGATAAGTTGGCGGTTCATTCCGCTGTGGCGACCCCAGATTGATAAAGGGACTAAGCCGAAAAGAAATTGAATAACAATAATAATTTGTTGAAATAGTTTTTGGTGTAAAGCGAACGATTTTCATTTCCCCCAATCTTTTTTTCACTACTTTAATTAATTATTTAAACTAAATTGATTTTGCGAACGCTTATTTTCAAGGATAAAAGTAGCATTTCTGCCAAACTTAGTCAATTTTCACTGTATAGAGTTTAAAAACAAAAATGCCAGCAGTATAGTTTAATAATGTAAATTATTTAGTGAAATATGTTTAAGTTCTTTACCAAATCACAACCAATAAGAGCTTGTCAATTTTTAATGGGTTTTTAACACCTGTCGGTAGCTCCGTAACATATGTGAACGCTTTCAATGTGAATTTTGTATATTTAAAAATATATTAAGTTGTAAGTTAAATAATGATTATCAAAATAGGCGATTTGCAATGATAAAGACCCCCTGCCTGTTGAGTTGTGTGTAAGAAGCCCCCGAGGAGGAGCGCGTAAAGGGTTAGTTAGGTGTCGGGGACCTGACACTGAGTGGGTGGGCTGAGCAGCCGCTCTCGCTTCTATGGCAACCCGATAGATCAGCATCAGCATGAATATTCACGGATCAGAGCGACTCGGGACGGCGGACGGCGGTGATGTCAGCGGTGCCCGGCTGATGTGGGCTCCTGGATCGCGGGTGTTTGCTTGTGATTGACAGCCAACGGGGATCCTGAGGGTCCGTGACCTCCGCGCGCGCGTCACACGTGAATCCGCGAGACTCGCAGTCAGTGCCTTGAAGCTGGAGGCGAATTTGGGCAGCCAGGTAGCCTATAATGCGCTGTGGCATGTGCAGGTGGGTTTGACCCTTCAGACTGTGGTGCACGGTGGCAGTAATTACACCCAAACTGGATTCGTTTGTCATTGAGTTGATCGCGCACCCGCTTCAATGTCATAATGGACAGGTTGCATTCGTCCATGCGTAAAAGGCTCTACAGTTTGCCACAGCACATCGGGCAGAAAGCGTCCATCATGGGTGATGCTGAAGACTCAGACAAGGACACCCGGAGGAAAAGCATCCGGATGAAGCCTTTACCGACCAGCGGGGAGATTAAAAGCGGAGAATCCGCGATCATGGAGACGGACATCGGGAGACCCGTGAAGACCAGCTCCAACGGGGACTGCCGGAGGTTCCGCGGCAGCCTTTCGTCCATCACCAGTCGGCACGTCCACGACTCGGATGTAGCCGAGGAAAGGCGTCTGATCACGGACGGAGAGGTCACTCCTAGCGAGGAGAGCCCTCCTGGAGCCGCGGGTGGCGGCGCGGAGCCCGGTGCGCAGAGCGGCGGGGGAGGCGGAGAGGAAGCCGCCGGTTCGAGCCAGCATCAGGGCATCCCGGATCAGCAGGCTGGCTTTATTAAGCTGGAAGGCATCGAGCAGATACTGCCGGACGACGAGAGGTATTATCAAGCGGGCTTCATGCACAGGCAGTTCGGGGCGATGCTGCAGCCGGGGGTCAACAAGTTTTCCCTGAGGATGTTTGGGAGCGAGAAGGCGGTGGAGCGGGAGCAGGAACGGGTCAAATCCGCCGGCTTCTGGATTATTCACCCCTACAGCGATTTCAGGTAACAGTGTTTCACTAAACACATCTGGAAATATCAGTGCTGCGATGTGAGAAAATAATGATGGTGTACTACTGACCCCCCAAAACTTACAAACATATGATGTTAGTAATGTCGAGGCAGAATCAGTGAGGAAGAAAATCAAAAGGCTTTTAAAGGAGGATGACTGATGCACTTCAATTCAAGTTTATTTGTAAGCATTATTCACAATATTATTGTTTCAAAGCATCTTAAAAGTTAAGGTTATTACTTGTGCTAAAGTGCATCAATTGTTTAATTTTGTTAAATAAAACTAAATGCTCTTCTTGATTTTCTTGATTAAAAAAACATTTTATTTACTGCAGCATCATTCAAATTGTTAGAACTAAAATAGTTAACCTGATATATATTATAAAACCGTTATTAATTTTAAAGCAACTTTTGAGTTTGCATTAGTTTATGCATTTCGTCACCAATTGCAATTATAAGGTTCTCTCTGAGTTCTGAATGATTTTGAGATAATGAGCTTTAAAGTTTTTAGCAAACAGTATGAGTGTAACATTTGTATTTGAAATAAAGTCTCAATATAAACAACTTAAAAATATCCCATAATGTAAATTAGTTGCCATTTAATCAGAATGTCAGTAACTCAATTTCGACAAAAATGTCAGATAGAACCTTATAATTTTAAGGTGATGATTTTTCGTTTTTACTTGCAAATATTATTTCATAAAGACTGTTTATATATATATATATATATATATATATATATATATATATATATATATATATATATATATATATATATATATATATATATATAGATAGGGACATGTTAGCTAATGCATTATCTAAACAAAACTTAATGCAAAGATATTCCCGTCTTTTGCTTATTTTTTATTTAAAATATATATATTTTCCTCCATCTAAGTGTGATTTTTTTATTTATTTTTTTTTACAGCCATTTTGCAACATAGCAAAGCATAACTCTCCCTGCTGAGAGTAGAAGTGCTTTATGCGTGCATTTTGCATGAAATCCAGACACTCTCTCTTTATTAATTAAGATGTGTCCTTGGGGATGACATTGACTCTATAGATTTGATATGTTCAGTCTGTTTAATACACACTGGTTTATTTCCCTCAGGCTTCATTTGCGAGTGACGCTGAAGCAGATTCACGCTCTGGTCACCCTTCAAAAAAAAAAAAAAAAGGCAAACAGTTTAAGCCGATAAATAATTGTTAGATTATTTCCCAGTGCATCTATTTAGCTTTGACATGCACGCGGTTGTTCTGGGCTAATGGGGTAAATGCATATTCAGAAAGGCTGTGCTGTGGATGTGTGTGTTTTGGGTTGTATGTATTTTACACACTGTTTTCATTCATGAATTGGTAGCATGTGTATCTCAGAGAGCAGGGTTAACAGCAAACCCACCCCTCCGGAGACACGGCTGCTGTTTGTCTTGTTTACCTATTGATCCTGAGAAGATGCTTTTATTCTGCTCGACATTATGAAATCACAGCGCTGTTCCTGGAGGATATGAAAGGCAGAGTGGGAATAGACTGATATAATATGAGGTGGCTGAGTAGTGTGTGTGTGTGCTTGGAGAGAAAGTTTTAGTTTTTTGTTTTCGTCAGCGCTTTTTGTGATTTGAAAGTTATGTGGAATCATATTTTTAAGTTGGTCAGTGAGCATTGATATGATGTCTTACATTTACTGAGACCTAACTAAAGGTAGATTGATTTAAACACTGTAAAAATATTTAATTTATATGCTGAAAAATATTACTAGACTGTTCTAGAAAAAACAAACATTTTTATTTTTTATTTATTATTATTTTTTTTTGCAAAATGCTGAAAAATAACAGAAACAATTTACATTCAAATATGGCTTATAATTGATTAATTTCATTGAAATTAATGTGAATAAACTATAAATGTAGCAATTTTAATAAATCTAACAATATTGTCTAATTTAGAATCTATATATCTATATCTCCGCTTGTTAAGTGTGACGTCACGCGAAGTGACTTCCGAGTCCAAGCGCTCTATTCAACTGAATGGGGAGACTCATGAAATGGTAATAATAAACGTTTACAAAGCGACTTAATGCTTTCGAAAATCATGATCGCAGTATATATGTCCATGCCTGTTATCCGATGGCCAGAAAGTGATTCATTGTTTTATAAATTGTTAAATTTTTGGTATTTGTTTTGTAGCAAGCCCAGAGATTGTTGTGTACACTATGATTTTATTTACAATTCACTTTAATGTGTGATAGGAATAAAACGTCATCATAAACATGATTTCTCCACTCAAATGAATGGCGGCTTGGACCCGGAAACAGTATTACATACGTCACAAACACGTCACCACTTAACAAGCGGATAAATTTTCATATAATTTTTATGTCTGTCATTCATTTCATTTTCCTTCAGCTTAGTCTCTATTTCAGAGGTCGTCACAGCGGAATGAACTGCCATATTCTAGCATATGTTTTGCGCAGCGGATGTCCTTCCAGCTGCAACCTAATATTAGGATGCACACTCACTCACCCACACTCCTACACTATGGCCAGTTTAGTTCATCAATTTACCTATAGTACACAGGGCTCGAAATGAACCTTTTTGCTTGGTAGCACTGGTGCTCCTAACTTAAAAAATTTAGGCGCAGCAGCCAAAATTTAGTTGCACACACCATTATAAGCACCGTTACTACAAGTTTTATACATATTTATTGCATTTGAAATCAACACTAATCAAACTAACAAGCAAAGAAATATAGATGCGTGTGTGAGTCCGTTATCACAAGAAAATAACATTTTTATAACTAAAAGATGCACGGAGCGCTCACTGGCCCTGCACGCACTGCTTGACATGAATGAATCTGTTAGCGATATAACTGTGCTGTTCTCACGGGTGCTGTCTGATATTGCACTGATGCTTTTGACACATACTGTACCTTATTATATGGATACGTCATGTTAATAGCAATACCGGTCTTTTAATGAATAGTATTATTAGTTGACTCAGTGCAAGCCCATTTGTGATGGTGTATGTGGTCTTAAGTTCTACATATAGCTGTTACTTGCACGACGGACAGCATCTGGCGATTATATGAAGGATTAAACAGAAGCTCTCGTGCTAGATGTGGCAAACAGTTACCTGAAAACTCCATCCCACAGACTTTTCATAGCGGACTTGAAGCCAACGGAAGTCTTTTATCCACTCTTCAAAATGTGTAGATGGTGGATTAACATTCAGCACATGTTCACTAGTAAGATGTGTCATTATTTTTAACTAGATGGTTTCTAAAACAAAATCTGTCAGTGTTATCTTCATTCTCATCTTCAGCGCTTTGCAATTTTTCGGGGTAGCAGCTCTCTGTGTCATCCCAAGCCAGAAGGCACTGACTGAGTGATTGACAGCTGACGTTAACCAATCATTCAGTTCAGTTCTAGAGCAGTGGGCCAATAAGAAGAGCGCAAAGGCGGGGCAAGCATTACGGACTTGGCTTTGTTTACTGCAGCAAGTTGACATGACAACTGTTTTAAACCATTTCTGAGCGCTGCGTTTCAAGAGTAAAGATGCATTCTGCGTGAATGTCTCCCGAATCCGCGTATGTGGTGAACATTTTGTAAAAACTGGTCACACAACAATTTAATGCACTCGCAGAAATGTTCCCAAATATATTTTAATGTCACATAGATAAAATTTCGGGCGCATATGCCTGAAAATAGTTGCAATTTCAAGCCCTGGCACATGTGTTTGGGCTGTGAGGGAAACCAGAGCACATGGGGAGAACATGCAAACTCCAAACACAGAAAATCCAAATGACCCAGCCAGCACTCGAACTAGCGACCTTCTTGCTGTGGGGCGACTGTGCTAATCACCGAGCCAACGTGCAGCCTTGCTATCTGACATTACAGTATTATACATTTTCTATGAAAATGCCCTCATTGTGGCCCTAAAACATCTCATTTTAGACACAAATTCGGGTGAACACGGTTTTGTAACCTTAAATCTAGTGCCCTTATAAGTACAAATTTCACAGCTTGGAGAGGATGTTCATTATATAAAAGATCTGTATAACATCTTCCACAAAGCAAAACACCAGCTTGAATGCATATAAATAGTGTCATATTTTTTATTTTTGCCTGAACTGTTCATTTAAGCACACTAGATTACAGATCTTTTACAGTCATGGTATTCCCACAATGTTGCTGTGGCACAGATAATAATATCGTTGCTTCTCACCCTCTGAACACAATAGACTGAATTTCCAGCGCTGATTACAGGTCTAATCTCCTCCTGCATTTACCTCAGTAATTACCACAGCAAGGTCACACAGCAGAGCGTCATTACCCATGATAAAGGCCACACAGTGCTCTTCAAACATGGCTCGGACAGTTCACTGACCTCCATTCATTCTGCATTGCTGTAGCTGTCAGTGTACTTTTTTTGAAGAGACATTTTGCAAGTTATTCTGTGCAGCGTGACACACAAAACATCAATTTTTCAACTTCTAGTACAACAAGAGATGTGACAAGTGTTTCATATTTAATATATAGTCCTTTTATTAATCTGGGGTCGCAACACAGCAGAATAAACTGCCAACTATTCCAGCATATTTTTTGCGAAGCGGATGCACTTCCAGCTTCAACCCATCATTTGGAAATGCACTCCATTCACACTCATACACTACGTACAATTTAGCCTACCCAATTCCCCTATAGCGCATGTGTTTGGACTTGTGGGGGAAACCGGAGCACCCAGAGGAAACCCATGCCAACACGGGGAGAACATGCAAACTCCACACAGAAACACCAACTGACCCAGTCGGGACTCAAACCAGTGACCTTCTTGCTGTGAGGTGATTGTGCCACCCACTGCGCTGCCAATATTATTATTATTATTAAAAAAGAATTTATTAAGATTATTATTATTATTATTATATTATTATTATTATTATTTAGGAGTATTTATTTTCAGATCAATATTTCTGTTTTTTGTAATATCAACAACCCA